TGCGAGTGATCTACTGTCCCTCCCCATGTTTTTAGATCAAAGCGGACACCTACACAGACCAAGAAGAAAAAAGCTCTGAGCGAAAGGGTGACGAAATATAACTGAAAAGATGGTTGTGAATAAACTATGCTGAAAAAAGTAATATACATTCTTAATCCAAAGACTCCGGCCTAGTTTCATCTTTATTGCTGGGTTTCAGTGTAACATCACTTCATAACAGCATGGATCAAATCTTAAATATTCAATTTGGACCTTTATTTAGAAGTTTGACTACATTTAATCTCCCCTCGTGTGATGTAGGATCCATGTTATCTTCCATATAAAACAAATGAGGCAAAGTGCTCACGTCTCAGTCCCAGATTTGACAGACAGCCCAACCAAGCAGAACACTGACAATGTCAACAAAGCTCCAAATAAATGATTGCATTCACATCTTTGTAGTTGCTTCAGCTGCTTTGTGCGATGGCTGAGGTTTGACACAGTAAAACCAGATGCTGTTTCGCCTGTCACTTTGGTTTGGCTCGGCTGCTGTTTGTCGATGCAGCGTCGTGCCGCAGCCTTTAGGGAAATGACACACATTGGAGACAGATGTTCAGCCATGGATGGTGTCAGTACTGTGCATGTACACATGGTCTGTGGGCACAAGACGGATTAAATGAGAGGCATAGGAGAAAGATCAAGTTGCAAAAGGGGAGAAAGTCAGGAAGACGGACCGGCACAAGAGATGAAACAGAAGATACGGTATTTAAAAGGCCTTCGTGAAATGAGAAATGACTAGAAAGGATGTTAAAGATGAATCGACATAGTATGATGGAGAGCTAAGAGAAGCTAAACAGATAGATAGAAGAGAGGTGCAGATGGATAGTCAGCAGGGGACAAAGAGATTGGTGATAGTCGAGCTGTTGGTGCTATTTCCACCATGGAGTGATAACAAGCCACAGATGGAACCTGTTAGTTTACCTTTCCTCTGAGTTTGGGGGGGTGTAAGTGTATGTGACTGCGTGCTCTAATATTTATGTGCTTACATTTTTGTTTTGGTTTTGAGAGAAAAATGTGTATACATGCATGTGATTCATGAGATTTGAAGGCTGAAAGGATGTTCTCATGGACCTGTGTATGTGATGGGACAAGCTCAGTGGAACAAATTCCACTACACTTGGAAGATTATAAGTTTTTGTAGGTTGGGATTAGATGAATATTCTCCCAATTTATAGATGAAAGTGCAGGAAACTGGAAGCTCCAAATGACTGTGTTATGATCAAATCATTTGTCAAAATCCTCTATATGGATGACGCAGCACCAGCATGAACTCATTACACCCCTCTGGTGTTACGCTGACAAAGCGTTTTTATCCTAACAATAACTCTACACGAGAAAATCAAACTGCATATCATATTCCTATGGATACAGAAAGTTAAAGCTCAAATAACGAATCCTTATACTTTTTGAGGATAATCTGACAGTTCATCTGGAACAAAGAAGTCTGACCCTTGATACTAACTGGGCCGTGGTCTCTGGCTTTGTACGCTTAACTTTTTTGTTAATTTCTGCACGTTCATGTTTTATGCTTCTTATGGCTCTTTCTGCTCGTTTTAACTTGATGTGGCTTCCTGAGATAAACAATGTGCAATGCTTCATATGAAACATTTGAAGAGTCGACCAACAACAATAAGATACAATATCTGTTGTCAACACAGTTGATGTGTTTTGTATTTACTTTGATTTCTTTTTTCTACTGATCACATAGAGGAAATGGCAGATTGAACTTGAACTGTAACTGTAATACTCAATCCAATACCGCATAGTTTTTCACAGTTTTGAGTAAGTTGATCATTACATTTTACTTGCTCACTCTTAAATACTAAAAAGAGCACATACAAATTTTAATGTGTGCCCATAACGGACCCACATCCTTTACAATCTATACTTAATCTATATGTAAGAGTCCAACTCCAGCATTATCAGGCCTACACAACAAATATGCTCCCACTCCTACTGCCATGGTCATGTTGCTGTTCCAGTTTGTTTGTGTATTTTCTCAGTGAGTTCTGTGGAGTTTGGCTTCCTGCTATAGTTTAACATCAGATTTAAGTTTTCAGTTGTTTTGAGGGCTCACCTCAGTATATATACATGGGCATGTATGTATGAATGCACGTATGCAAGTATGTATATTTATATATATCTTGGTTTTCATTGTACTATTCTGTATCTTTTTGTTCAGCTAGGCTAGCGTTATTGTTGTCATTCCCAACTTCTCATTGGATATACTTGTACATTTGACACATTTGCCTTTGTTTTGTAACTCACTTTAATGTATCACCGGTCCCAACCTCTCATTTTAGTAGTAGCTCTTGCTCATCTCAGTACTCCGAGCTGCTTCTGGAAATGAGAGTCGGCTGAATATGTGAAGAGGGCTCAACATGCTATAGTAAACAATATAAAAGAACTCACTATATGGCCTCTTAAGGCTTACTCCAATTGGTGATGAGCCAATAAACAAAACGATAACAAAAGAAGAAGAAAGCAAATCTTTGTTCTCTTGATTTTATGTTTTATGTCAGATCCATATAAGATCCATAAGGATATATTTGTGGAATGTTTCCTTTATCTAAACACTGGGCATTTCAGTTACATGTGTGAATATCAAGCCTTGACACTGTTCTTGGTAATTTTTCAAATCCATACATGGTCAGGAATAGTTTGTTGATTTGGCTATAGTTTGACCATTTTCAGAACTAATATGTTGATATGGTTGGAGCCACATAGACTTCCAAAATAATCAGAGTTAACCAAAACTTTGGGCTGAGTATGCTATCAAGTCTCCTGTACAGCATGTTTATAGTGGCTGTAATTTCTGGAAAATGTCAAAATTTATAAAGTAATACTGTTGAGAAAATATTAACTCTGATTTATGAGCCAAAGTTATCACCATTGTGCTGATATTGTCAAAAAATTGCATAAAATAACACGGGCACTGTAAAGGCAGTCAGACATTTTGTTCATTTGACTGGTTTTCAATAAAACTCTGAACATTGAAATAAGATTTTATTGTTCTTTAAATTATTCAGTCAGTATTTCAAGCAGTGACGTGCATTAATGTTAACCTGCTATTATTTTGCTCCATCAATTCTGCCTACTCAAGTGATACATGTCAGCAAGGAGCACCCTGTAGACCGTGTGAGGCTAAAGCAAAGCAGGACTGTATGTGGTCTTCCTTTGAGTCTTCTGTCATATTTTTAACTCATAACGTCAGTTCCAACAAACCCATCAGTAAACATTACTGCACCCTGTAGCTTTGTCTGCAAGTTACTCTTCCTTCCCACACTATTTTCTGCTCCTTTCCAGCTGCTAAATGTTGCATTACTTTCCCCTCATTTTCCAACTTTATCCTTTTCTCCAACTTTGCCTAGCTTCTTCTTTTCCGACCGAATATCCTTAAACTTCCATGTTTAATCCAACTCCCGGTAATTATTTTTCCAGCAGTTTTACAGTTTTGTATTGAAGTCAGATTTTTTTGCACATCTGTTGCTCTTCAAACTGTCTATGGAGAATTTCCTTGTAATGTTTAGTGGACTTTAATATAGACATCAGAAGACACAATTAGAGATAATAATGTTTGACCTGTTAAAAGGGTTCAAGCAAATTTGCTTTTGGCTTTTTAAGCACTGGTGATAAAGATGATCCAGGATTTAAAAAAAAAAAAAAATTGTTTTCCTTGAGGTTGTGTCCGTCTAAGAGTCAAAGAATAGAATAAGCTGTGATTGAGTGCTTGGGTACTGACTCTGTCCATCGGTTCTGCCTGTTTGTTACTGCAGTCTGAAAACTATTTCCGATGGCTCTGGTTGAGAGGCAGCTCTATACAGACTACCACTATAATAAATCAAGAAGTTTGAAACAAGAATAAAGAAAGAATCTTTAGTTGCAGTCCAAGTGGGAACAGTTCAGGCCTTTAAAGAAGGTTATGAGAGTGTGTGAAAGAAATCTGTAATAAAAATAGATCAGATGTGTTTGTATGTCTGCAAGGCCCCATTGAAGGACAAGGTGATGTGGGGCCCTTGTGCTTCTCTGTCAATGCCCCTCCTCAGTGGTGAGTGACTCAAGCCCCTTTCTCACCATGTGTGTGTGTTTGTATCTGTTTCTCTGTGTGTATTGAGCTGAGTGACCGAAAGTGTGATGGATGAGTGATGAAAGATGGGCAGAAAGCTGATTCAGCACCACGGCCTCTTAACTAGGAGTTTGGCATACCAGCCCCGTCTTCCCTCAAATGCATACCTCTCTTGATGTCTTCACCTTAACAGAAAGAGAAGGAAACCATGTGATTTAAAGATGAAGACTGAACAAAATATTGTGGGGGAAGATGTGAGACACCTTTGAGTGACGCAAATGTTTTGAGACACTGGGATATGCAGATGGCTTGTGGTTGTGTTTACACTAGTATGTTTGCCTGTGTAAAGCATTGAGAGGAGACACCCTGTGTCTAAATGAACTTGAATTCAACCCGAGCCTTACCACTCCAGCAGAGCTGCTTCATCGCCCATATGACTTTGAAGCTGCTGCCAGATTGCTGCAGATTAGTCATTTTCTTTTCTTTTTTTTTAAATGTTCAAATTGAATGCTACTACATCTTATGTTCAACTGAAATCTAAACAACTATATCGGCACCGTTTTTACCTTTTTCCCCCGTCTTTTTCTGCTGTAAAACAGTACCTGCATAGCTGAGTTGATTTAAACCTGCAACCTTTTAACTTTTGATCTTTTTTTATCTTTTACATGCTCTCTTACAAACTGTTTCTATGGACAACCTCAATCTGATGTAACAGATGAATGTATTCGATTGTATCATATACGATCCCTCGGATTTATGACACAGACTCAATGATGGATGCGTTTGACTTTCTTCACATCGACTTGTTGTGATTTAGTCTGTGAGTCTTTTTTTAACTACTTGTTGAGCAAGGTTTTTGGTCTCCAGAGCTCAACCCTCTCCTCTCTGTCTGCAGACCTGCTGTCCACGAACAGGTCATCCATCTTCAGTGGTCATCATGGCCAGCTCTCTCTTAGCGCCGTCTTTCTGGACGAGTACCGTGACCGGCTCTTCCTGGGAGGGAAAGACGTTCTTTACTCTCTCATGCTGGGTCCTGTCAGCAGTGAATCCAAAGAGGTGAGCTTTCTGAACATTTTCAACAGTTTCTGCAAAGACTTTTGGTTTTAAGTTTAAATCTGCGTTCCAGTGATGGAGAATAAACTCTTGTTGGGTGTGAATGGATTTGTGTTAATTTACTTTGTTAGGAATCTGCATTACCTAAGGAACCCCCACATCCTGAATTCCTCCTTTATGCAACATCTGTTTAAATATTCTTTCTTATAAATCCAGAGGATAAAGGACATCTGCCATTTTGTCTAACGGCTCATGAGGGAAACGGTTAAAAACTCTAATAAAGAAGAAAGCTTAAGAAACAAAGAAAAAAGGACCCAATCAAACATTTCTGGGTGATAGATTTGTGACTGCCAGCCAAAGATCTCTGTGTTCCACGTGTCCTGTATACTGTATATCTGTCTACACCACCAGTTCATGCTAGGCCATCTAATCTAAACTTCTGTCAGATTTTATGTCTTAGTTCCTATGCCAAAACATGTGTACTCTTCCTGAAGTAGGAACACCTGTAAAAGTGCAGATACTCATAAATCAGTCCAGCGGCAGAGCTTTGCTATTAATCTGCACACGTACATGCTTTTTATCATCCAGGCTTGTTAAACACAGGGGGTGGGGGAATGCTGCCCAAGCGAAAGGGAGTTATTTTGAAGTGCAATGCAGGTTTCCTCTCAAACATGTCTGACAAAGCAAAGAGCAAGAAAGTACCGATATCTTAAAACTGAGTCTTTCTTCACTCTGAAAATGAAATTAAACAGTAAAATGTTTACAGAAAGTTACTGACAGGGTTGTCATTGATAATTATTGGCATCACACATCCATGAAAATGGGGCATAGATGTTTAATAAGTGTGGAGGAGTAGGTTAGTGAAGATTAGACGGTTGTTCATAATTTGATCTTCCAAAGAATACAGTAATTAAAAGACTGATATCAGATATTGGAAGAGGCTGAAAGACCTCAATGTAGTAAGTAGGTAAGTAAGTAGTAAGTTGTCAGAAAAGGCTCTTTGCCCCTTTAACACAACGTGTTGGTAGTCAATAGTTAGCAGGGAACAATATGTGGATCTCCATGATTGGCAAGAAACATTAAGTAGGTTTGAGATTTATTTTTCAAGTGAGGCCATGTTAGCCCTTGGAGGTGAACAATCAATATGCAAACTGAAATGGAGCCAAGCAAAAGGGTTTTGTGTTCATTAGCCTGCAGTAGCAATTCCTGGGCTTGATTCAAGAAGCCTGTAAATTGCATTATAAAAGCACAGAGGAGATTTATATTTGATTTAAATCAATATCTAATGTAATTTATTCCATGGAACAGTAGACCTTGATGAGTTCTGGTCTGATTTGTGGACTTAGGGAGAATTATCTTGAGAGGTTTCAGGGAGTTTTTGTTGGAAGATTTGCTCATCAGGGAAATGAATAAGCTCAAATTAAAACAGCATTTCATTTCAGTAACATGTGTTTCCAGACTGGATGCGTTGGAGAAAATGTGTGTGTAGGATGTACAATGTACTCTGTGTTCCATTAACTGGATGGTACGCAGGAAAAGTAACGGCCTCAAACTAAAAGCCCCTGCACACTCCCGCACTTTGGAAAGAGCAGCGTTGAGTAAGTGAAGTGTGGCTGTTTGAGACAGGTGAAAAAGGCTGTGATGACACAGAGTAGATGTGGTTTTGGATAGTTCAAGTACACAAAAAGCCAGATGTCGCCCACGTTATTCACCTTTTATGTCTATGCTTATGGTCACATGTTTGCTGTTAGACTTATAAAAGCCACGTTTCAGAGCCAGCCCAGATAGCTACCATCTACTTATAAAATATCCACGAAAGCAACCATCAATAGAAATTATTTTTAAATAATTCAGACAGTGGACGTTTTCACATTCTGCATGATTTGTGTAATGTTGATATCAGGGTTGTTATGACAACCACATTCCCTGTTATTAAAGCTGCAAGCATCTCAGCTGATCTCTGCGTCATTTTTGTGAAATGTCAGCCTCGGGGTATTTTAGATTTGAGTTCAGTTGTATTTTGAAAGAAGAGTAATTTGCATTTTGAAAAGAACGCCTTTGGCCTCAGGTTGAGGTTTTCAGGTATTTATGTTGAGTTGTTTGTGGGCTTTAATTACCAAAATGACACAGTGAGCCTTTAATCTGTTACACAAAGAGGTGGTCCACCGGCTCGAACTCTGCTTTTGTGTCTGGTATTTAAATGTGGTTTCTCAACCTTTCCACTCAAAACCTGACCAACAGTGTTGTCATTGGAAATACGTGTAATTATTAACAGAAGGATTTGGTGTAACAAAAGTCAGATGGCATTAAGTCCGTCCACACACACTTTCCACCCAGAACCGTTCCATCCCTCTCTTTCAAAGCATAGAAATTCCCTTGTTAATAATTACTCCGAAAAATTAAACAAATGAACGATTCAGTTCGCTGCAAATGTTTCTCGTAATTGGAAAAAAAAAACTCCACTTTGTGCGCGATGAAAGATAAACACATTTGATTTGTATTTGATATCCTACCTTTGGTTGTTCTATAGGAAGGCTTCAGTCTTCTCTTTTGGCTTGAAAATGGGATTGACTGTCGCAGACGTTTCATGTGTATCAGCACATTCAGGCAACTGGTTTATTTTCTCCAGTGTTTGGTTACGTTGGTTGAATGGAGTGAGGTGTGCTGCTTTGCTGATTCTGGAGATGGCATTTCGCCCGGCTTACTTAGCATTGCTCAACTCCAGAGTAATCCCTCTGGCCTGAAAAGAATACGGCGTTAGAAGTAGAGTGTTGATAAAGACCGAGTGTGTGTTGAAATTTTCTGTTTCTCTTCGGGGCCCCTTTTGTTTTGTTTGCTTTGCTTTGTGAGATAGTTTTTAAGATTTCTACATTGTTTCAGCTCAATGATTAAACTCAACAAATCTGCCTGTGTTTCATCCTTGAGGCATGCTTCAGGCATTTTTGTTTCAAGGATTTTTCTTTCTGTGTGTAAACAGTCATTGTCAAACCTCTGGCAGATATTTTGTGCATGCGCATGTAGTTTTTAAATTATTGAGATTAATAAAAGGGAATAATATATTCACCCAGCTTGATAAATCACAGCAACACACACTTTGATGCGTCTGGCTCCTGGTGGTTATAAGGATAGTGGAGGATTTGAGGTTTGGCGAACTATTAAAAGTATTGCACCTGGATCAGTTATATTCTTAGAAGCCTTTCCTATTTTCAGCTTGAGTTTAAAGGACAAGATGCTTGGAGTCCAAAGTTAAAGGATGCTGGTCGCTGTTTGTTTCTACCTTGCTCAGACTTTGCAAAATAAAGAAGACGCACATGGTTTTAAAACCGATTTTAGAATATCAGCTATGTATCGAATGTGAGTTATACTTACACATACTTATACCGATTGCCCTCAGTTCATATATGAGGGCAATACACAATTACAGTCTAAAAGCTTGCAAACTGAGACACATATTAAGTATTGCTAAACAAATGGAAAAAATAATGCAGGCTGATTTCACAGTCCCGCGACCCCAACAGGGAATAAGCGGTATTGATAATGGATGGATGGATGGATGGATGGATTTCACAGTCTATGAGTATCGAGTCAGACCAGAGTTTGGTGAGGAAGGCTATTTGACTCCCTAACAGCAACGAGTGCAGGGTCAAGCCAAACCAATTGCCTCAGAGATCTAACCAAGTTCTTCCAAGCTTTAGACCACACCCAGTGTACCAGTACACTCAGTCAGGCAGAACAATTTGATTGTTTCTAATGGATCTAAATGGTTAACATGACAAAATTAGGTTAAGTGTTGGACAAGCCACCTGCTGTTCTGAGGGTTGAGTGCCTGTTGCAATGATTATTATTGCTCCCTTTTTTGTTTGAGTGTGTTAAAGCTTTATGAAGTGTCTTTTCTCAATGTTAAGTTCATAGTTGGAAAGATTGTCACATGTCTCTTTTTTTTTTTTCCCCCACAAAACAACTATGAACCAGTGAGATGTTAAATGAGCCACATGCTAAGAGGGGCTTTTTCAACTCTTTTATGTTTTCTCAATACTATATTGCCTCATTTGGTATGTCAAAGATTGCTTTTATTCCAAAATCCCATCTGAGTTCACCACTATTGACCAATTATGACCTTGAGCAAAAATATTTACTGTTCGGCCCTTCAGAGGTGCACATGTCCATATATACTTTTTTCATATCAATAAACCAAATGGCAAACTCTTGTAATTTACAATCAAAGTTAAACGTTTTTTATCATAAGAAAGCCAACAGTTTTCAAGGGGCCATTTAAAACAAAGCCTTTGGTCAGGTTGAGATAAAAGCAAAGTGCTGTCTTGCTTTCAGTATCATCTATTATATGAAAATATGAATTTAAGATAAAAATGACTCAGGTTTGTATTTGTCAAAGCCAGCACTCAGTCTTTCTGATTTGCACGGAGTCCACAGGGCAGACTGTTTTGATTCCAGATTTATGACAGAGGGAGAGATACAATCTCTCTTACAGTTTTACTGCTGACATGAAGTCTATGTGATAAGTTCAAGAAGAGAATGTGGCTCAGTTTTAAGCCAACAAGGCACTTTACTGCTTCTGATTCATGCTCCCTCTTTAATATAACTGTAGCTATGTAGCTCCACACACAACGCAATGAGACAGAGTAATGCAGGTCGGGATCATTTGATTTCCCATTGTTGCTTTTCTCCTGGTTAGCCAAAACAAGGGCAGTTTCCTTTTAGACCATACAGAGACCTATTGTTTTAAGTAACCTTCACAAAACATCACATATACCTGTCACAAGTTTAACAGGGATTATATCAGGATTTCCACTTCAAAGACTGTTTAAAACAGGCCTCATTGTCTCGGGCTCAGTTTAATTTTCAATGAAATGTAAGAGTAAATGTCAGAAGCTCTCCTGATCTGTCATTCTGCAAGAACCTGCTTTGAAAGCTTTTAAAGTCATCTGGTTGTTAAATGAGATTCTAACAAGATGGAATTTTAGAATTTTAATTCAGGAAAACAAAGCAGAATACATGCAAGAATAAGTAATTACTGTGGGAATTACGGTTTAATGTTTTTGAACAGAAAAAAGTACTTTTGAATCAGACATTATCAACCCACGACCCCATTAGGGAATAAGCAGTAACGATAATGGATGGAGGGATGGATGGATGGATGGATGGATGGATGGATGGATGGATGGATGGACGGACATTATCAACTGTGAGAACAAAAAAGGAATTTCCTTTTACTGCCATATTCAGGATCTCAGTGAGAAAATGTTCATTGGCCGGGTCTCTGGACTTAAGATTGGAGTAATGCATCTCTCTTGTTTCAACTTCATGGGCCAAAGGTTCCATCTTTGGCTGCTCCTTGCTCAGCCTTTGTTGGGTCGTGGGATTTAAGATCCGCTCTGCTCAATTTGTGTCCAATTTCAGAAGAGTTTAATTTTTCTTGAGAATAATTCACATTTAATGACACCAGGCTGAGTGTTATGTTTTGATTTCTTCCCACAAAGCTTGCTCAGATCCCTCGAAGCAATTAGCAATTTTGTAGTCTGACTGAATAAGATGGCTGTTGGCTAAATGTCATAATTATGAGGTATTTAACCAACAAACTTTTTTTTTCTTCTTCTTTTTGTCTTTCTTCGTAGATCTCCTGGCCCCCGTTACCTGGTAACAGAGAAGACTGCATTCAGAAAGGGAAGGAACAGGTAAGCATCTGCATGCTTGTTTTGACATATTTCTCTGAAGGATGATTGGAGGTAGTTCATTTCATGGAAATTGAGTGGGTCAAACGTTTCAGTTGCTTGTGAGAGAGTAGAACAATCTGCTCTTATCACAGATCTGTCTGGGTCTCGCATGTTTTTAACTCCACCTAGAGAGAACATCTAACCCTATTCAGAGGGCTTGAGTTCTCTTTGGTTATAAAGGTTTCATTCCAGCTAATCGGAACACACCCAGAGACTCTCCAGTCTCCAATGTTTCTTTTTCTGAAAGTTTTCCTGTCCTGTCTTGTCTCAGCTGTCCTCCAACTGCCCTCATATTTCACCTTTTTTTTCCTCCATTATTTCCATTTCTCAGACATCACCTGCCTGCCAACCCGCTCCTCCCTTTTAACCTGCACCGTTGCCTGTTTCCTGTCTGCTCACAGCTTGATTCCTCTCTGCAGAAAGGTCAGCTGACGCTGCCAAAACTAATGCGGCAGTTTAATAACTGAAGGTCCCGCACTGACCGACCGCTGCAGAGCAGCTCTGGACTTCCCACCGAGACACTTTTAGAAAAAGCATTCCCTCCGTGGCATCGGCGTGTCAACCTGCTGACAGATTTTGGCAGCTTTCTAGCTGAATCCTGCACCTTGCTCTACCTTTCCGACTCTGTCCGAGTGTCTTTCAGTTTCCTTTTTCCTGCTCGACTTTGCTGAAAGACATTTTTATGCAGTTTGGAAATGCCGATGAAATATATCCACTTACCCTTGGCAGCGTAGCAGGAGTTCCCCAAAGGCACGCGTGAAGAGAAGAGCAGAGGGATCCTCTGATGGTACAACGTGTGTGTACAGTGTGTGCAGAATGTGTTGTCCGCATTAAGTAGCTCTGTCATCTCTTTCTGCTCACAGCCTGAGCAAGGTCAGATTTGTTAACTTTACAGTGTTTATAGTGGAGCTGCAGGGAGAAGCCAAAGGAGAGATGTTCTATTGCGTGTCATAATGACGTGTCACAAACAAAAGGGATGGTGGGGCTGAGGAAGGACAATAAGTTAACTATTAAAGCAAGAATTTTTTTTGAAAGGTGTTAATAAGGATCAGTCGGTGCCAGTCATTAAGTGTAGACTGTACCCAATATCCTGGGTGGCCATGGTACCCTGGCTCCCTAACAGTGGTCAGTAGAAATACTGAGTTAGGGTAACGCGAGCACACAGGATTTCTCCTTAATCCGGTGTAGAATGTACACTAGTTAACACTGGTACTTTGTTATGTCCAAGATCTTTTTTTCTGCCAAGCAGCAGAATTTGAGAGTAATTCTAAGTTAATGAAATTTGGTCGGGGAATGCTTTCATTTTTTTTCATGTCACTGCATGAGTGGCATTTAAGGACATTCAGCATTCCTCCTTCTAATTATCCTTGCAGTCTTTTATTCGTCACATTCCTTCATTTAAACCTTCTCAGTTTTTTTTCTGTGCGTTATTTCTCCGCTCCAAATTAACAGGACAAGCAGATGAAAGTGTTGAAGACAGGATGGGAGAAATTTTTTCTCCAATGAAACCCAGTTGGAGAAGAAACTCTGGGTAGATTTGGTTTTTCTTCAAATACCTGAACTTTCTTACTGTACTATTTATTCAAATACCCAGTGAATACTATAAAGGCCTGTAGAGCAAGTATCTTCAGAGCCACTTCCATCTGGAACTAGTTAGTCCATGTGTGTTTCTGTGTGTGTATGTATATATTTTTGTGTTTGAAGTGGCAGGTGTGTCAAGGGTATCTTATATCAGTTTTATTAAGTGTTTCCTACGTGTTGCTCACAGAGCTCACACAGCTTTTGTGTGTGTGTGCTGTTCCACTGTCTGCAGTGGAGAGGAGGAAGCGCAATGCATTCTTAAGAGCACTTTGGTTGCCTGTAACCTTAACTTACTTGTACCAAAGCAGTCGTAAAGAGTACGTGTTTGCATTACATATATTGACCTGTTTGACAGCTTTTTGTTCAGCTGCAGTTGGCATTCCTTCACGAATCCTCGTCTCTGGGACTTTTTGGTGTGGTTTAGGATGGAATATGGCTGTATTCTATGGCATTTTCAGCGTGAAAGACTCACACACTGAACAATCACACTGGCCAGATGTGTTACATCACATCTGTTTGCTGTGCAGGTCTGTTTCACAAAAGGCACAAAAAGAACGAAAAGGATTTTAACATAGTGTTTTTCACTTTAGTGCTTGTTTATCTGGTGAAACTATAAGACATTTGGAGTTTCATAAATTAGGCAAAAAGGGAGCTACAAGTAAAGAGTGATTTACTTTTCATGATAAAAGTAAAAGCACTAACAGATTTTTATTTATCCTATGGCTTTAGTTCAGACAAAAATGTAGATCAGGTTCTTCTCAGTGCAAATTGGTTCTCTTATACATGTGTGTGAAATGTTATAGAAAAGAACAGAAATAAACACATGGGGACAGATTTTGATCTATTATCTTTTATTTCTTCGTCAGTAACCACAGTCTTCTTCTGACAAGTGTCTACCACCTTCAACATGTTTTCCCTGATAGCGTTTCCTCCCAGAGTCTCAACCTTATGACCACCACCATCATTAATCACAGTTTAGACAAATAAATACCAGACAGAGGGAAGGCATTCAGTGACTTCAGCTAAACATGCACCGTCTTGCTTTGGCTCTTACCAGATTTTTCTACTTCATCTGTTTACATGTTCTGTTTGTAACTGGGTTCATAATCAGATCGCCTTATAACATCTCTAACCTGACTAAATATTTCAGCCTGATCTCCCCTGAAAATATGCAATGAGCACATTGGCTCAGCTCACAAAACATGACGCAAAGCTCAGACTGTTTATTGATATTTGAGTTAAAGTTGTTGATTTCTGTTCTTGAGGCCTAAGTCGTAAGTCTACATGCTGTGAAGACAGTTGAAGACCACACAACTTTACAGCTAATCTGTCATTTAACCACCCTTTAAACATTTGTGTTCAATTAGAAGGAATTCCTTCAAGGCCAATTAAATTAGCACTGTACATGGATGACGTTGATGTCAAATGAATCCAGCATCCAGAATCTTTTATGCAATTTCACTTCCATTCATATTGATGCCAAATGTCAGTGTTTCCTAGTTGAGAAATCTATAAATCTGTCCTAAACTGTTCTTAACTGCAATGTAAGGGTGATGGCAAAACACATATATCTGGCTTGGACCAAGCCACAGCTCCTCTTTGTGACTTTTCACTGCTCCTTTAAATGCAAACAAGAAAAAGATGCAGAAAATTTGGTAAATGTTTCATAAAACTTTTTTGTCTGCCAAGAAGTCAAGTAAGTGATTGTGGTTTTCTCAGCTAAAATGGTGGATATTAGGAAAAATCCTCTCATTCTGTTTGGCAGGAGTTCCTTTACCATGGCTGAATTACATCAGCTCTGTGAGGAAAACACTCAAGAAACTTATTTGAAGATCAAACAGTTGCAGAAACCAAATAACAGTTCATTTGGCTGTCCGGATTTTAGCTGCTCTCGTCGTGTGTGTTTGTGTGTGTAAGTGTAGATCTTTGTTTCCTGTTAGTATTACATGAACAGAAATGTCTCTGTTTAACATTGTCTGTGTTTACTGGAAACTGCTCAAAATGTGTCAAAATGTGCCTCTCCTGGTCCTTGCCAGTCATTATTTAACATGCTCCATGTTAGGTCCACAATGCCCACATTAGCAGGCTGGAGGGGGTTAACCAATTAAGCCACGAAATCCAGAATAACCTAGTCAAATTTCATTTGCTTCATTATAAAGTAATTTGAAGTTGACTACAAATGAAAAAAAAAATAGTACAAGTACTAAATAATCTTTGCACAAACCTGATTATAAATAAGTTAAAGCATAGACTGAAGCAGAGAACTGGACAAGTACAAACAAAACTTCACTGACCACAAAGGTTTGGCAGTGGACAAAAGAGACTGGGGGTATCCACGGAGAGGTCACAATGACAAACAAAGGCCTTGTGTTGTAGCCAGAAAACTGAATCCAGGTGTGCAGTTACTGCGCAACCACAGGAAAAGACAGGAAATGAAACAAGTGCATAGGACATTTACCAAAATGGAAGCCCAAGATGAACCTAACCAACCCTAACACAGACAGCAAAGGAATAGAACTGACTAAATAATACCAAAACCACGCTAAGACCAGCGTGCCATGAGAATATCCAAATATATAACAATATATAACAATATACAATATAACAAATTCAACAATTGTATCTATTTTTTCTATTGTACAATTCACAGATGTGAAAAATGGTCATCATTTTACGTTTCCTCCATCCTCATTTAGCGTTAAGTCTGTGTTTGTACCAAAAGTGGTTTTCGTTTATGCAACAAAATAACTCAATTGGAGTAATAAGAGGTCAAGGTTTGGCTCAAAATGCAGACTTATGTAACCGGTTCATTGCAAAACCGAGCCCTTTTCGTTTAGAAATCCTGAGATGATGTCAATATGGAGAATTGGCCAAATTTGTGAGCAATGAGGGTGAAAATAAAAACTCAGCAACTTGTACATTAAAAATCCCTGTTTCTTTTTTGTGGAGTTCACTTCCAGTTTTCACGAAAAATACATTTTAGTAGGGCTCAAGATTTGTTTAAAAATATATTTTTTAATCCAAATAGGAGTCAGAGTAAAAACTCAAATCCACCAGACTTGATGTGGTCACCCAACCGGTAGCAGTGTACACTGGTCTGACTCCTGTTGGACGTGTTTGGAGGTGACTTTGTTGTTGTACCCTCACCTGCCATTGAACTCCTGAGCTGTTAGTGGAAGCACAATGCCTTCCTGTTGCACGCTCCAAATGAATCACCACATTCAAAGGGGAAGTCGGTCTTGGTATTGTGAATTGTAAAAGCTGCCAGAGGTCTTGGCAGTGTGCCCGTTTGTTTATGGTAATCATTCATGTGGCTCAGAAGTTATGCGGTGCAATACTGTGTACAATGTACCCCAAGAAATATTTGAACTGTGTATGAATTACTGGAAAGAGTATTTGTGGTCAGCATTTTTTTTTTTTTGCTTAACAATCCAAGATTACTGAACAGAACATTGGAAGCTTTGGTTTTAACCAGCTTGTCCTGACCCTGGGTATTTATGCTGGGATTTTCGAACCTGCCTTGAAGGCTATACTCTCTGAGATCTCTCTGTGTTTTAGTAATCACACCACTTCATTTTTCTTTAAACACCACTCCCTTTGCTGCCACTTAATCTCAGAAAGACCACACAGAATTGTAAAACCAAAAACCCGAGCCTGGGAGAGCAGGGACATATTTCCTCTTTTCAACATTTCATTCCACTCTTTGGTCTCGAAGGCCGCACAGCTCTTCAATACAACTCCCTCAGTGGTGGAACGGAAATGGAGGAGAGGCAGATTTTGACACATTTTGAGTCAGTTTTAAGGGACTGCCTATACAATTTCTTTAGAGCACAAAGAAAATTAAGGAGATCAATTAAACATTCTTCGTGTCCTGGATTTCTTTGGTACATGAGGAATATTGTGACGTCAGCTGTGTCTCGGGGTACAGTTACTTGGTTTACATCAGTTCTGCAGTGTCGCCAAGGCACTCGAGGAAACGATCAACAAAGGCTGAGGGTCTAAGAGCAACTTTTAAAGAGACGGGGGCCACACACAAACTGACAGATTTACAAGACATATCCACTTGTCAAAACAACACGAGTCAGTACTCTGCACATGTGGGAATCAGGATGCAGGCAGACGACACGCTGAAGTAATAGAAGATAAAGAAACGCATCAACATTTGGAGATCTAATTTAGTTGATCTAATTAAGTATTTGCTCATAAATGTATGTTGAACTACAGATGACAGAGCATTTACAGCTTTGCTCTGCTCCTAATTTAATTACAACCTTATGTTAAACCTAAACATGACTTCAGCCTTGATATGAATTATTTATGTTATAGGGATATGCTTTTTGTCCCTACAAGCAAGACAGTTCCCTGGCTATGTATATTGTGTAAACAGATGTGGGTCCCCACAAAGTGATGAACTTGCACCACACAAATACACACTGTAGATTGCAATGATGCTTACGAGTTTGACCTGGTTAACTTCTTCAAATGACAACTGGCTGATCCCTTTCTTGTGGCCAGTAGCAACTTCTGTAACCTCATGTAGTTACGAAAAAGAAAAACAATGTAGTTGTCCCCCTTGCCTCTGCTTGATTCCTGTAGTACACAAATGTCATGATCCTTTTTTTCTTAGTCACCGCTTCTATTGTTCTGCTGCGCTATTCGTCAGTCATTGGTGCCTTTGTGTTGGATGGCTAGCATTTGACTTCTTTTTTGGCTCTCCTGTACTTATGAAAGCAGAGGCAGCTTCTGTCTTTTGTTGGTTAATCTTTCTTATATTTAACACCCAAAGTCTGATTTGTCATGGGTGGAGTTAAGAATTTCAACTCTATCCTCATTGTGTTCAGAATTTCTTTCTAAAGCTAAGAAATGCCCACCCCAAAGACTGGAATGCAGGCCTTCTTGATATTTCTGAAGTTCCTTTAATCAGGGAGTATTGGAATTTGTTCTTTACCATTAGCATACCATTAATGGCTGACGTCCAAGCATCAGAGATATGAATACTGTAAAGATGGCTATCGCATTTCTTCTGATAAAACTAAACTCTTGGCCCTCAGTGGGACATGTGGGTTCAATAAGCCTGGCTTTGAATAGGTTTGGTTCCTTTCGAAAGCATGAAAGCCAACTTATCAGCTTTTGAATGAAAGTTCATATGAATTATTTACTATGATTGCAGTATAAAATGCCTTAACGTGCAGGAGTGAGACATCCTGTTCGCATAAACATCTGACGACTACTTTGACTTTTTATATCTTCACATGCAAAAAGCAAAGCATCTAAAACCCCAATGCATAAAAGTAGTGCTGAAGATTTGTAATATCTTCCTGTTTATATGTATTTTCAGACGGAGTGTGCCAATTTTATTCGTCTCCTGCAGCCCTACAACCGAACTCACCTGCTGGCCTGTGGCACTGGTGCCTTCCAGCCCATGTGTACTTTCATCTATGTGGGACACAGAGGAGAGGTAAGCAGGGACTGAAGATGGGTGGTTTGTTTTTGTGCAATGCAGCTCCTGCGCAAAACTGTGAGGGCCTGCATGTTCGTACACTGATCGTCTTTAGGATCAGTAATTCACAAAACCACAATAGTAAAAATGGATCTTTTTTCATGTGAAAAATAAGTATTGGTTTTCTGGAAGAAAACTCTGTGGGGTATAGCTGCCAGAGTTGTTCAAGAGACATCAGAATATGCATGCCGCTTTCTTTTTAAGCAGTAAATTTTATGCAGTTTTATGCTCTCCAGCCCCCTGCTCAGTTTAGATCCTGGCTTTTAATGTGAGAAACTTTCAATTGTAATACCGCTGAGTGTTGAAAAAAGACTTCTCATCTGCACAAAGTTGGGAAATTGAAGCATACAGTGGTGAAAGACAAGGAGCTATACCTTTCTTAGACTTAAACTTTCTTAAACTTAAGCCACCACACACTGTACTCTTTTGAATTATTATATACAGTACAAAGCTAATACAAACACTGTTCTGATAGCATGCACTATTATCAGATTTTTTTCTCTGCTCCAGCAACTGTGGAAGTATACACATTCAAACATATTTCTAATCTAAATAAGTATTTTTTTCTCTATTTTTTTCTCATCACCCATTCCTCCTTAATCTTGAACGTTTTACATCCTGCAACCTCCACATGGTGAAATAAAACTAACTGTCAACCATCAGCCTTTGACTTACACACCATTTGGTGGACTTAGGAAGCCGATCTGAGTCCCTCACAGATATTTATGCAGAAAAGATTATAGAAAACATATGTTGAACGTGCAACAATGTTTTAGTGGTTATCATGAAAAGATATGAGCTCATTTTAAAATTTTATTGCCCAAACAATATGGACCAATACGGAGGTCATTCAAGTTTTTACTCTAATCATTGATTAATTCAAAGACAAAATGTCTCATTATTATTATCAGATAGGACAACCGTACAAATGAAAAGATATGATGGAACAAGGCCATTGGCCATTCTTGTTCAAGGCCCTTCTTGTTAAGCTTAATGTTGTTTGCCTTAATATGGACTCAAATAACCATATTCTTAGTTGTCAGCTGTGCAATGAGTTTTTCTTTAACGCTCCTCAGCCATACTATTAGACACTTTGTGTGTCCTTTCAGCTGCACAGGCCGGTGCTACTCACAGCCACTCAGCTCAGTGCCACCCTCAACAGAGTCTCACACTTGGATCCGTTTAAAAGACAAGAACCAATGAATGGGGCTATTAAGACAAACTCGTAGCTTTCTGTTTCAAGGCAGTTTTCCAGATCGTTGCCCAGCGTGCCTCCATGCCCGGCTCAGTGGGAGGGGGTCAAAATTTGCATTGAGAGGAGGAAAAGTCGTGTGTTGGCAAAGAGATGTGTGGGGGAAATGAGAGCCATGGGCTCAGTTTGCCAAAGTTTTAGTGTGCATTGTGGATTGTGTGCACATATAAAGTCAATTTTTTATTTTTTTTTAATACATTTTCAATCTCTCTGTACGGTGTCTGCTTCTCGGTGAAACTATTCTCCCTCTCCTTCTAAATAAGTCATGGTCATTTCTGTTTGTGTGAGAACAGTAAGGTTACATGACATGACTCAAACAGGTAATGTGTGTAAAGTGTTGCTTGTGTGACAGGACGACACCAAAGGGAGCCTGTCCATTTATTTAGGCAATCGTTAGGTGGAGAACACACATCAGTGTGTTTATGTGACCTCTCCCGGGAACCGAGGCTCGGAGGCCTCGGACTGGACTCTGGGTGGGATGACCTTTGACGTTCTAAGTGTTTCATCTCCGTTAGGGGTAGACGTACACATACTCTTTCTGTCTCGCACACACCACCCTGCTTGCCTCGTTCAAAGTCGGGGAGTTCGGTGTCACAGAAGTTAAAATAAATTAAATGCTCTGGGTCTGGTTGAAAAACTGCCGGCTTGATCTGAAAAAGCAAGCTGTTCTTAAAACAGCGTTCACTCATAATTAAGTTGGATTGAACCTGCTGCTGTTGTTCTTTTGTATTAGATCATCTCAACAGTATTTGATTCTTTGAAAGAGCACACGCAAGTATCCTATGCAACCAATCACGAGACACACCCTCATGATGGAAGGAGATGTCAGGGGTTTTCACATTTCTGGGAGGTCATGGAGAACAAACAGCACTGCAAACCCACAAACAGCATTTTCAAACTGTTGCGTAATGATCCTGAGTTTCATGTAGCCAATCAAAAACTGACACTATGTTTAAAAATTGTCCATCTATTTCACAAATGTTTTTGTCAAATCAATATTCACCTAATTTCCATCATATGGTGTTCATCTTTATCCCACCCTGCATCCACATAATGTGTGTTTTTAGTCTGTGTTTTGCCTCCTTCTGCCTCTCTCACCCACAAACCCACACTGACATAAACTGGAGTCCCTGTGGTGACTGACACTAGCGCCTGAGCAGCATCATAGATGTGAAAATAAACTTTCATGGTACTGTGACGACACAAAGGGGACACGACCACACACACATACACACACATGCAGTCAAACAAAACAAATGACAGCAATTTGGACGTGTAAATATGCAGGGATGCAGACAGAAACACACACAAACATCATCAAAGACATGCACACTCAAACATAAATATATAGAATTAGTGTTTATCAAAATACTGATGCACACAAATAGGAAACAGACATGCACATTTTTCTGGATTTTTTTCTTAACAGAAAAGTTTGTTGAAACTTCTCGGCTCCTTTGTCAACTGTACTTAAAAAGGGGCTAAAACAAATGAAAAGAAACTTGTCATTTTCTGTTCTTTCACTCTATAGAAACTGGCAGTCTCAGTGTTTTTCCTTGGCTTTGGGATTATAGAATATGTTGTTACAACGAAGAAAAAGCTCTGGGTATACAAACAAATTAAGAATAGAAAAAATGTAACCAACCATAACCAACCATAAAAATAGAAGGTATAAAATAAACGAATTACTAAAAAGTGGACCTAAATAGGTCTACAGCAAAGGAGCTTGTAGTTTATTTTTTGTTCCTTTTTTTTATTCACAAGAAAAAAAGAAAACAAAAAAGAAAAATATGTTTCTTCAACTAAAATTCTGTCTGTTTTGATGACACAGGGCTTTGTGCAAATGTCCAGGGCCCAATTTTTTTACCCCCCTCCTGAGCTTGAATAATGGATAAGGGGGGGTAGGTGAATAAATATAGGTTTTAAAAGGAATTTATTAAAATGCTTCTAGTATGTCAAAGTGTCAGGAGCCACTTGCCTCAGTGGTTTTGTAGTTGGGTAATGTTGCATTTTGCTTGGCAGAGGTGAGTACAAAGTGGCTTGGATGTCTCTCTGTATCACAGCACTTTTGTGTGTTTGTTTTGGCGGCGTTTGGCCCATGTGGCTCTGACAGTTCAATCAGCCCCACCATTCCTCTGGGTCACGATGAGGAAACACACACAGACGAGGACTACATAGAAGTGGCGGGGAGCAGAGACTCAGACAATCGTGTTTCTGCGCTTTACAGTGTAATCCTTTCCTGAGAGTTGTGATTGTTTTCTAGCTCGTATTTTATCTGTAAGTAATTTTAAAAAACATGACTGCAAATTATAAATGAGTCAACAAAACAAATCATACAGATTAGGGACATGTTCAAAAAACAGAAAAGTTACTTTTAAATATCCCTCTTCTTTACAAATTCGACAAAGAGAAGCTTTTGTTTTAGAATTAAATGTGCGGGTGGGCTTTACATGTTCACTTTACCACCTGCAAAAGTCATTCGAACCTTCTGATGAGCATTTAAAAAGCGACGTGAGGCGAAAACGGAAAAGCAGTCTCCGCTTATTTCCTGAAATCTGTCAGTGAAGGCATGGTCCTGCTGTCTGAGGCACTTCGCTGTCTCCACGTTTCTCTGCACGAATTGTTGCGTCGCACGTGTGCACGTCTGGTGCACGTTCCAAACTCGTCGCGTCTCCGTGTCTGTATTGTCCACTGTTTCTTCGACCGCTTTTATCAAGCCTACGTCAATGTCATCGTCTCCCCTGTGATCTCTGCTCAGTGAGGGCTCGCCCACCTTGTAACAATACTCCATTGTCTATTCGAGGAACACAAACTGAGACACAGAGTTCACTGTAAGGACACTTAAATTTGTAACATGGGCTACAGAAAAGTTGAAGTTTTGTCGTCGGTCTTGTCACCACCCGTTCCCCTTATTATCCAGGAGGTGGGCCGTGTTTAATCCCACGCAGCCGTGTCTGGCACAGACAGACTGGCACATTGGTGGCATTGAAGTGGAAGAAGAAAGGCTAAAAACAAAAAGGGCCTTTTGTCCACAGTGACCCTCTCTTGACCCGCCAAATTGCCCAGTCAAAGAATATGGAAAGTGTTCAGCAGGTAAAGTTGACCAGCTGGTGAATGATTAAAAAGAACAGCTATTTGATTACATCCTTTTGTCTTCAATGCTGGAAGTGCATTAAGGATTGATGTAAAGTGCAATCACTGAAATCCAAGGAAATATCAGAGATTTTTTTCCAAAAAGTTTTCCAAGATGTACACAGTGTGGTGGCTAACACGATGATGAGAACTGAGATTTATTTTGAAGGCTACTGCAGCTAGAAGCTCCACCAGTTGTTTTTGACAAGGGAATGAAAAATTACATCTGGCGTGCTACTTTTTTTCTAAAATGAAATACAAAAGTTTCATGATTAGAGTGAAAGAGTGGAACTGTTAAGTGTTTATCTCAACGTCACACAGTATGGCCTTACATTTAAATTTAGGGTCATGATGACGTCTTTATGGACTCATCATGAATTCTTTAATTATCAGCATTCCTCTGTTGTTTATAAAATGTGATTCTTGAGAGCAGTTTTTATTAGATAGCAGTGCTGCTCTGTATTTTCTTTTATTACTCTGAAGGCCCCTCCGCATCCAACACTCTGAGGACTGCTCTGTCCGGGAACTTGGTGGGAAACTTGTCTCAGATAAGAGGAAACGCAGGATCTGAATCCAGACAATGCCTTTATTCCCAGACAGATGAAAGTTCGGTAAAAGGACGAGTAACAGTGGGAAAACTGACTGGAAAAAAGAAGACAAACACTGATTTGTGTGGGAAAAGAAGGCAAATGAATGGCCTGTCAGAAAGAAGAATCACAGTAGTGTTTTAGAAAGCTTTGTGCGGATCTGCTGTGCGTCCATACCTGATGAACCTTTACTGAGCAAAATAATCAGCAGCAGGTGGATGAATGGGCTGCCAGTATTCATAGAAAAGGAAGAAAAAGATTTTTCACTTAGAAAAACTGATGAAAAAAGATATGATTCAGATATTTATTTCAGCTCTGTAATCTGAATCACCTCATGCGACTTGTTAGTGTATTTCTGGAATTGCTGGGGATGTGATTCATATCCAGTGAAATATCCCTTCTTGGGGACCACCTGCTGGAATTAATTACTTGTAACTGTGTCTTTTTCCTTCCCAGCATGTGCTCACCATGGACCCCCTGAATGTGGAAAGCGGACGAGGAAAGATTCCACATGACCCCAGCTTCCCCTTCGCAAGCACATTTAGTGGTATGTACCTTTTTTTTTTCTTTCCTTCTTTATTTTGGCCTAGATTTCCACACATTTTCGCAGCTGGCTAATAGAGCTAATATGGTCAAGATGACGGTGTAATACTCACCAAGCAGACAGATTTACATCAATAACACTGATCGTTTAATTGTTTTCTTTTGTTCTATCTTCTTTGTTTCTAAATCAACTGTCAAAGTTGAGACTCTGGCCAACAAGAGATAAAACTTTCCAAATAGATGTGTTGGAAGATTTTATTTTATTTTTTATTTTTTTGTATGTATATAATTTGTGGCTATGATAGACATGTAAATACACACATTTTGGACCTGCGCTGACTTCAATAAACAGTTTTGGGTGTTTCTCTCAAAACGTCCTTGGGTATCTTGTGTAGCTTGTAAAATAAGCATGATTTATGTCAGTAACAGAGAATCCTGTTGAGGGTGGAGGTATGAATGGTGTGTGTATCTCTCTATGTGTGTGTGTGTGTGTGCATCTCTTATTCTCTCTACAGCTGGGTAATTCCAGCATTAGAAATCATCCCACAGTGCTTTGTGTTTGGCAGGAACCTTTCTAACTTTAAGCCAAATATTTAATAGTTTGGCCCTAAGCAGTGATATACAGTGGCCACATGGTCTTAGAACTGTTGAAGTTTAATGCAGAGGAAGTGACAGATATAGAGGGTTCCACACGACAGGGAGATATATGATGAGGAGGATCATATACTCTGGCAGAAAACTGTGATATATTTAGGGTTTGTTCTTTTTCCACTGTAGAAAGTTTTAAAAAGCTGACTCAGCAAAGTTGTGTTTGATGAAGAAATCTTAAACTCACACTGGTCGCAGGACTGTCCTTGCCTCTGACCTCTTTATGGATCGCCAGTACAAGAGGTCAATATTGTGCAAAATGGGTCATATGGCTGATTATTTTCTTTTCTTTTAGTTGTCTGGTGCTAATTCGAGGCAAAGCTTAAAATAACAAATGTACAGTAAATCAGAATGAGAGTAGAGCATTCCAGGATGAGAATATTAAACAGAAAAGGCTGTGTGAAAATGAAACGGTAAAGCCTGATGAGCGTTCTCATCGTCACTTCAGTTCTGGTTCCTCCTTAATTTCAACATCCAAAATACACAAAGTGTAACTCCCCAGGTACCCAGTCCACTCTGTCACATAAGGATCTGTTTCTGCTCGTGAGATAATGTCATGGCACAAAAGCTTCAGACGATTTTCTTTCTTTCTTTTTTTCACTCGTCGACTGTGTTTCTCATACTGTTATTTTTAGCCAAATGAAATAAGTCAATCTTAACCCTGACGTTGCATGAGAGTAATGTCTGGCCCGATTCAATCTCTGTGAAAAATTAAAAGTGGCCCAATATATGACGACAGATAGTTTTTGATAAATACTATATCTCATAATTCTATTCCTCAGCTCATGACAAGCGTGGTTGTGTTTTTTTTTTTTCCTGAGTAGTTTCCAAGTAAGCTGACTCGGCTGTCTTGACTAATGACGAGTAACACAGACAGCTAAGCTTTATATATAGTTCCTCATATAAGTAACATGCCAAGGGAAAGATGTAGCCTTTTATTTCCATGTGCAGGCATAGTGTGAGTCACTGAAAAGGAAATTTGGACCATTCCTGATGATTTTGTTGGAGTTTGTACTGTATAAGGTGTGTTTGGCAAAGTGCCCCAAACTCTCTGTTCAGTATTAGTTTTGTTGGTTTTCCTCTTTCCTGTTTCATCTCATTTCCCCAAATCAAAGCAATAAGATAAGATCCCCACACTTTTAATGTTAACTCATCTCTTCTGGGTCATTGCAGCTGCAATCCTTCCTTTCCCTCCAATCCTTCTAACAAAATTCAAAGCAAGAAAGGTCTACAATTATTCTATTTTTTGGTGCATTTCACTTTTCCTGCGTATCAGCCGCATTATATCCCATAAACGGTAAACAATAAAAAGGAATGTTTTCTGCCAAATAGATTTAATTTCATATAATTGCCACTATTCAACAAAGTATCCAGGAGCTGGCTCATACAAACATGAGATTCAAAACAGATTTAGCTTATGGGGTCTGTGGCCAAAACCCGCCATCAAGTTAATTCATAGGGTAATCTTATAACATTACAAAAGTTCCCAAAGTATAGTCTTTTTATTAATTTCTTTATATTTTCTATTGGCAATCCTAAACAATTCATCATGTAACTTGAGCTGCAGCCGTCCTTATGTCGAGTTGGATCAACTGATGGAGAGTTGGCTAAAATTTGCATTCCTTGAAGTGCCTAACTGTATACAAAATGAATGGGCATTAATGAAATAGTGTGTGTGAACATGATTTTGGTTTAATTCACATCAGAATCTGTGCATTTGAATGTTTTGTCTTTATCCCTGGTTCTCTGCAGGTGGGGAGTTGTACACAGGACTGACTGCAGATTTCCTTGGAAGAGACTCAGTGATTTTCAGGAGCATGGGAGGTCGTTCCACAATGAGGACAGAGACGGACCAAAAACTCCTTCATGGTAGTTTCATCCATGTACAAATCATGTTAATGAAAATGGAAATCAGATGATGTATGCAAAATTGTACACTTGTATTAATTTTGTTTTCAGTTCTTTTTTTCCAGATAAATGCTTGGGTGATTTTTTTTATTTTTATCATTGACAATTAATTAATGACAATTACATATGTATTAGCACTATCTTTAAAGTAATAAATCAGTAATAATCAGTAATAAGTGCAAAACAATTTACAAGGTAGAGGGAGGGTTAGTTGGAATTATTGGATTGAGTCTTGCTTACTAAACCTGAGTATAACACAAATTATCTTATAGATTAATTAAGTTTCACAATTTCAATGAATTATCTCATCTCTCTTCTTTCTTTTATTCTTCAATTTCCTTGAGCAGACCCCAAGTTCATTGCTGCCCACCTCATACCAGACAATGACGACAGGGACAACGATAAAGTGTATTTCTTCTTCTCTGAGAAAGCCTCAGAGGCAGGGGACCGGGAGGGAGCGATACACTCACACGTTGGACGAGTGTGTGCGGTGAGACACTTAACCGTGTTTTATCCTACAGATGATCATGTTTCAGACTGCTGATCTAATCACAGCAGAACTTGGAAACCATCACCTTGCCGATAGGTTCCCTTGTTGTCAGAATTGACATTGAGCTAAGTTAATTCACTGGAGAAGAGCTCATCAGCTTTAAAAGGAGCAAATGATTCCACTTAAGAGTTCGACATGAGATAATGGATTTATTGGTTAATTGTTTTATCTATGACATTTAAAGAGCCTCCGGAGGAAAGATGAGGGTGATTTTATACTTGCCTCCCCCCAAGGGAATATGATGGTATCATCAAATTTCAACTTGGATAAATGTTTTCTCCTCCCGAAATGCACACAGCTGTCAGATTTCCCAACAGCAGTCTCCATCTGCTCTGCACGCTCGCTAACATTCTTTCACGCATTGCCTTGTCTTATGAAACCACATGTGTGCTGTGAGAATCGCACACATTTCAAGGTATGCATAGAGACGTATTCACTGATGCACTCATTCAAACATGCAGCTGCAGGATTTCAGGGCTTGACTGATGGTTTGTGCCAGAAAAGTTTTATGCAAACTTCAAAAGCTTCTAAATCCTACCTAAACCATCTAATGTGACCTTTTTCCACCATTTGTTTTCCCTCATTTGTTTCCTTCGTTGTTTCTTTATTATTTACACACTTGCACTGCTGTCTTTTATAACATTTTGGCCCGATCACCATAAACCTTGCAGTGTTTAATCTTTTTGTCTATGCTGCTGCACAGTTTTAAGCAGTAAATGGACAATAAACCAACGCATTAAAGGGGTATTGGTTGAATTGGGCCACTAATGACACACATACTTGTAAAGTCAGGGTGTTTCAAATATTTTTTGGCATCTGTCCTGATGCTCCTACAGTTTTTTACAGGATCCTAAGCTGTTTTTTATTATTGAGTTAATTATATGATATATAATTATAGGATTTATTAAAAATCAGCGAATACCTTGTACTATTTAGATGTATAGATTGTAACATCAAAAGAATGGCGAAAGCTGGAGGTCAACACTTTTACATCAGCGATTGTTTATGAGTAAATCCAGAGTGCAGGAGCTCAGAGCCAAAACAATGAAAAATATTTGTTTGGAAATCAATATGCAGTCACATTTGATAAATTGGTTCTCTGCACCTTCTCCCAGAATGATGTTGGAGGCCAGAGAGTTCTGGTCAATAAGTGGAGCACCTTCATAAAAGCTAGACTCGTCTGCTCTGTACCAGGACCTCATGGCATTGACACACACTTCAACCAGCTTGGTGAGACACACCGTTGAATTCACACTCTTGGCATGAGAATTTGCATTTGCTTCTCAAGTATATACTATCTAAAAAACTCAGGAATACTCTACATTAATTGGTCATGTGTTAATGTGATACAGAGGATGTCTTCCTACTAAGGACCAAGGATGAGAGGAACCCAGATATCTATGCCATCTTCAGCACCATCAGGTAAACCTATAAAGAATAGGCCTTTACATGTGGTTTTCTGAGTGGGCCCTCGTTGATTTATTAATGAGGAAAATACGTTTCTAGATGCCTTTCATTACCAATCTGAGTATTTGTTTTTTTTTGTCTTCTGTAGCAATGTGTTTCAGGGCTTTGCCATATGCGTTTACCGAATGGCTGATATCAGAGAAGCTTTCAATGGACCTTTTGCTCATAAAGAAGGTCCTGACTACCAGTGGGGGGCTTATGAGGGGAGGGTGCCCTACCCAAGACCTGGCGTGGTAAGTCATATTTACCAGCTATATTGTATCTAATGCAACATTTACTCACATGTTGTAGATTTTCAGATTCAACTGAACCAAATTTACCACTGTGTCTACCATGACCTGCTCTGTGGTGGTTTGTAGTGGTGCCTCAAAGCAAGAAAGTCCCTGGTTCCAGTCCCAACTGTGGCCTTTCTTTGAGAAAGGGGCTCACTCTGAATACTGAGGCTTCCTCCCACAGTCAAAATTCTTAGATGATGATTCTGAAACAGCCCTTTGAGGGAGTGCCTGTGTGCCTGGTTGTTTATCCTTGTGATGCAGCGACAACCCGTCCAGGGTTTTCTCTGCTTTTTTGCGCAGTCGATCCCCATCCCATGACCTTAGATTGAATTAAACGGATTTGGAGAAAGGGAGGTGCAGCTATTTTTGGATTACCAAAAGGATGAAACTGGAGGTAATATGAAAAACAGAAAAACAGTCCAACAAACTTAGGTCTCCAGAAGTGCCCATGAATTCAAAGTAAAACCAGTTGCAAAAAAATTAAATGAATACAAAAAATAATAAAGCTTGGTTGTTTAATAATACCTTAGCTTTACTTTAGATTCACTACCAGTAGAAGTTAAAACTAAAGTACTCAAGGATTGGAATCACTGGAGGCTCCTCACAACAGTGGAATAAATTATACCATTATCCCTGCCCCAGTTTATCATTAGAGTCAGTTGGATCTAAGATTTACGTCCAGCATTCAGTAACTTCTAATCTAAAACGGCCATTTAGGTCCACAATATATACAAAATCAAAATGGAAAAACATTTTGAGATTGTAATACTATGCAAATATTCAACATTAAAGTGCAGAAAGTTTCCATATCTGTAAAAATAAACGAGTGGAAGTGGAAGTGGAGCTGTGGTGAATGTATACGACACAGACCCCTCTCCTGGTTTACATCTTGACTCTCAGTAGAGTTCTCTCATGTTCTCTCACCCACATCGTTGTGACTTACACACACAATCCTAAATGTACGCAACACGCAAACATGCTATGAGTTTGCTCGTGTGCTTCCGCTTCATTACCAAAGCCAATGGGAGTGCATGGAGGAAAAAAAGAATGAATAATGTGAGAAAAGAGTAGACACCTCTGTGGTTTCACTCTGCTGACTCTGTGATTAACAGGAATGTCTTGGCTTGAAACTGAGAGTAAGAGAAGGCGGAAATGGTGGTGATTCAGGGAAGACTGGTGAGGGGGCGCAGATGGTGGGAATCAGTTATTTGAGTCTTCACAATTTGATATGCTACAAGAAATGATTTGGCAGGAGTTGTAAGAGTTTGCCTGATTAAGTTGCATCAATTTAGTATAGTTTAAGCAATCGAGCCATTTTTATTTCCTTTGGTGTTTAATTCTAATAGATTTTAGCTTGATGTCATGTAATACCCATCAATGTCTCTAAAGTTTCTAGTCAAAATACATACAGAGGTGAACGAATAATAATGTTCATTTGACATATGTTGTGGATTTAAACCTTGCATGATATGTATTGGACCGAAAGAGCATTGTGCATTATTAAATTTATGCCACAGCTCAACAAAATAATGGGGTTCTACAGCTTTAGAAGAAATCCCACATTGATTCTGCAGGGAATTTTGATATGTACTGATCTGCTTGCCTCTGACATCCATTTCCATCTCAGAACTCCTTGACAGAAAGCTACAGTTTACCATGAGGTGCATCTCGACTTTTGAATCAAGTAAACCACTTGAGTAACATAATATTGTTAAATATATCCTGGAGTGAGGACCATTTCTTGACATGAAAATCACTTCCTAAATTTTCTGCTCAGCTTTATGCCATCATTTTTAATCATGACTTCAGCAACAGCATATTTTCTTACCATCTGCATTAATAACTGTCATTTTTATAAATTTGCTGATATTCTATACTTTTGTGAAATATTTTCAACCTCATCACCAGCATAAGAAATCCCATAATTTACTGCCCTTTGATTATTCCATGAGTCTGTTTAAGCTATTTAAATTTGACTATCGATAAATATGGATCATAGATCTGGATTTACTTACATGTTTTTCCTATTTGGTTTGGCTGCTATGATGATGAATATAACCCCTCGTACTATAAACGGTGAAGAAAGTATACACAGTATCAGCAGATGACTCCAGTTGACTTTGGGTTCAAATACGAGCGAGTTGCAGCTTTTTCTGGCTGTTGTACTTTTTGTAAGGTGTCCTTCAGATTTTGGTTCTTGGTATTGAGTACTGTTACTTTTCCTCAAATTGTAATGATTTGAAATATCTGTTACTGCGATGTCATAAATTTGTCTTGCATGACACTGACCCATTCTTGCTACTAACTTAATTTTAGGCTGACTTTAGAATCATTCAGACTAGGAACTCCCCTGCTGTAAGACAAAGTGATAACAGTTGTATTTCTCTCAAAGTGCAAATAAGTTAGGCCAAAAATTGATCTTTCAAGGTAAAAAAGCGTGTGCATGCAAAACACATGTTTATAATCAGCTATATATGTGAGCAAAAGTATACTCACTCCCTCTTCCTGAATGAATGCAAGATGACCGCTTCAGTAAGAATAGACGTAGGAGCCATTTCTGCTCATATTTTACGTGCAATGCATCCATTATACGTGTTTTAAACCATAAATAAAATATGACATCAGACTTTAGCTAATCCATAACCAATGCCTTATAGAAAATATCTATCTTTTGAACTGTGTTTGTTCTTTTTGTTTTCATTCCAAAAATACACTTTACAGAGTATGTTTTGTTTCTGGAGGCATTGATTTCACCAGTTTACTCAGCAAATGGATTAATCCACATACATTCAGTCAACAATCCACGCAAATGTGTTTTAGGGGAATTCCTTCTCCTAAAACAAAATGCACTGTAGATTTAAGTAAAATGAGAAACAGAATTTTTTAAAGTAGGAAAATGTGTTTGGATTTCACATTCCACTTCTTCTGTAATAAAATCAAATTAAAGCACCCTCTATTATGCATGGGATATTTCATCATAACTTGAATGTAACTTCTCCACATGGCTCAAATACCCTGTCAAAGATAAAGCAGATCATTGTTTATTTTCTATCATTGTGTAGATGAATTATTGATATGAAAAGAAGTGACAGTAATTCTTGGAAATTAATTAGGCCGCTGAAATGGAAATATTAGATCAATAAGACTGTATAAAGTGTTAAAGAACATCTGTTTTTGTTATTTGCCGTCTTTTCTCACAGTTTATGATTTATGTCAAAATTCTCAGGCTCATCTTTTATTTCAGTAATTTGATAATATTCCGCCACCGATAGTGCCCGATTCAGCCAAACATCTCAGTCATCTCAAATAGCCTTTCTATGATATCAACATCTTAATTTTCTTCAGTTGCTTGGACTTCCATGCTTTTTAAAATTCTTTTAAATTGCAGCAGTCAAATGAGAATGTTTTATTTTATGATGAATTATTGCCCCTTTCTATTCATTTTGCATGACCTCTGTTGCACTTGATTCTTTCATGATATAAAGTTGATGTATGGCAGGTTTTGTTCTCTTTCAAGTGTGATGAAAAAGTTCAAATGAATCATAAATGAAGAGAATAGAAGTTCTTCGGCAGGAACCCCCAATGTTATGTATGGAGCCATCATTGCTAGCTTATATTATCAACCCTCTTTGTCTTTAATCATACTGTGTATAGAGCGCTTGTGCAGAGATGCATGAAAATATAGCTTGGCGTGACAAAGAATTTGGCTGCTTCACTAATAAGCTCTGAATCACGAGCAAAGTCAGAGGCTGTATAGTCCATATAAAAGCGTTCATTTGGATAGTGCCAACACATTAATTCTCTCTCCCTCTCTTGTGGTGGTGCAGATAAGGCCAGTTTTTCGCTGACAAACTGCTTCTTCAAAGCCTTTTTTGAGAACTTGGTGTTTTACCCGTGGTTGTGAACATTCAGCCAAAGTACTATAAAACTCCTAATGAAGGTTCTCAAAGAGGTTTTTTAATCACAAGTGGGTCTTTTTTTTGGAAGGAACACCACCATTTTGGTTGAAATGGTGGGAAATGGGATTCATTGTGGAAATAAGTTGGCATGCATTTGTACACACCCCCCCTCCTTTTTTTTTTTACATCCATGTTCCATTTATCTCAGCTCTAATGTCCATTCAGTTATGCAACCAAACAATGTCCCCTCTTTGAGCTTTATCCCATTTCCTCCTCCGTTCAGTGTCCCAGTAAAATCACCAACCAGCCTGGCAGAGAGTTTGGCAGCACGAAGGACTTCCCTGATTCGGTGCTGCATTTCGCCCGCAGCCACCCGCTGATGTGGCGGCCGGTGTACCCGGCCCTGCGCCAGCCCGTGCTTGTAAAGGCAAACATTCCCTACAAGCTGAAACAAATCGTGGTTGACCGGGTTGAGGCGGAGGATGGGCAGTATGATGTCATGTTCATTGGTACAGGTAAGAATTTGTACTGGTTAAATCATGTTGCTAACCACGGAATTTGACAGTAAAGAAGGAGAAGGTATTTATCTGCTTTTTTTTTTTTCAGATATCGGTACAGTGCTGAAAGTGATTGCCCTGAACGGTGGGAATAGTTTGGAGACAGAGGAGGTCACACTAGAGGAGCTGCAAGTCTTTAAAGTACGTTTTTCATCGACATGTCTGTAAATGAATATGTCCAACTCTTTGCTTCTTCCTCATTCTTTTTCTCTTTCGTATTACACAAGCCATTAATCATTATACATACAGACAACACCTCTTTGACTGTGTCTCCTAAGCACAAAGCAGCAGATACCAACTCTAAAATAGTCTTTAAAGTTTTTACAGAAGAGCATCTTTAAACTCTAATCACCTAATTCTCTTCCTAGATGTTTTGGCCTCTGTCCTTTTAAGTCTTTTCACAAAACTTTAAATATAATTACCTTCATCATTGCAGGTGCCAACTCCAATTACCTCACTGGATATATCTGTGAAAAGGGTGAGTTTATCTGACGGCGCTCCCCACAATAACTTTAATCCCACTCTTTGAAATGAACAAAGGGTTGCCTTAATAATGTTTTATTGCCTTGTTTTTTTCCTCCCTTTATTTCAAACAGCAAGCCTTGTATGTGGGCTCTCCGGCAGGTGTGGCACAAGTTAGGCTGCACCGTTGTGAGACTTATGGGAAAGCCTGTGCTGAGTGCTGCCTAGCCAGAGATCCCTACTGCGCCTGGGACGGATCCTCCTGCACGCGATTTGTTCCCAACAGCAAACGCCGCTACCGCAGGCAGGACATCAGGAATGGAAACCCTGTGCTGCAGTGTGTGGATCAAAATCTGAGCGGCAAGTGAACTTTGCTTTGTTTTGTGCTCTTTTTGGTTGATATGACGGTTTCTTGGCCATTCACAGTGACTTCCTAGAGCATGTTTTCCAAGCCTGGCAGCCTGGCTGCCATAGCGATGGCAAGCATCCCAATCACAACTGGTTATGCAAATGAAACAAGTGTGTTCCTATACTTTGATTAGTACTGAACCATGCATCTTTGTTCTTTTGGACAAAGGCATCACAGTTGTTTCCAGACTCTTCTTGGCTGGAATGTGGGTATAATTACCCCACATATAATAATAATTGTACATCAAACTGTGGCAAATCACAGAAAACTTTTGGACATTTTTTTTTTTCATCAAAAAATTTAAATACAGGGATTTAAAAAATAGACTATCTTTTAATATAATTTGTTTAAAAATGTACACCCCTCTCTGAAAGCTCTAACCAATAAATAAAAATACCTGGTAAATGGATCAGTTCACTTTAGTTTGCTTTAACTGTAATAAAATGTTGAGATGTTTTGTGTTGATACAAAATATAGCTGTAACTTGAAGACTGTAAAATAACCCTTCCTAAATGGTTAACTAAGCAAACAAGGCAGCTTCTATTAGATGATAAGCAGCTAAAGTTAACGTTCTTGGATGTTAAGTAAGTGGGATTAAAGAAGGAGCCCGACAGCAGCAACTGTATTCAAGAATCCAGATGTTTGCTCACAGCTCTGAAAAAAAAAGCCCAGGGGGCTGGAATAGTACGATTGATTAACGTTGTTCATTTGTGTGATGCATACTTGAAAAGTCAGTTAAAAAGCGAAGTCACAGATTTATATGCAGAGCTCTTTCTGTATTAGAGCACAAACTTCCTGAATGTTAAACAAAGCTTACCTGTGGAATGTAATGGTAAGTAACATGTTTACATACAGTAAAGATAAATCTGACATAAGTGGAAAATAATCCTTATGAGGCTGAAGCCTCATAACTCTCCGTGATTGATGCATGGACTGTCCAGAAGGTTCACTGTACAGTAAAGAAATTAGGTTTGCAGCAAAGGGAGGAAGATAAATTTGAGCAGCTTTCTCCCTACAGTTTAATGAAATATGCACAATGTAAAGGGGAAATATAAATTATATTTTTCCTCTGAAAGTTACATTCTTCCTTTGGTCTTTTGCAGTACTGGAGGCAAACAGTAACATTGTACTGTTGTGTCTCTACAGTACAAAAAACTCAGAATTTGACCGTTTTTGGCTAAAGATGTAGATCTTTGAATTAATTATTTAAGAACTCTTTTTCCTTTATGGTTTCTTTCAGACCTAGATGTGACAGAGGACAAGGTGGTGTATGGAACAGAGAACAACAGCACCTTCTTAGAGTGCGTCCCTCGCTCACCACAAGCTACCGTCACCTGGTTAGTCCAGAGTGATGATCGCAAAGAAGAGGTAAGATGAGCAGAATAAATCAATGGGATCATTTTTGGAACTGAGATAATAAAATGCACATGTTATGGGAGGACAGAGGGTAAGCGCAGGGAGACAGTCGAAGGGCGGAATGAAACTTTTGGCAAACGGTGGCCTTAGTAACTGCCTGTAAAAGTGAGATATGTGTGTGAATTTGGCATGTGGCTGACACATTTGACAGCCGTTTGACATATGGTTGAAATTAAGCAGTTACGTTTCAAAGCAAAATGCACAATTGCTCTTTCTCTTGAATAAACAGAGAATTCTTTGCAAAGGCTCGACGGCATGCCACTGACAGATCGCATGTCACTCTATGTCTACTCGCCACTGTGACTTAAACATGGAGCTGCAAAGTTGTTTCGGCCTGTGTTTGGAAAGTGATGCTGCGTGCCTCTGCACCCCCTGAAATCTCTCATCTGTTTGAAGTTATGTTCCTCCAAGCTCAACTGAGTGCCTCTGTCAGCCGTGCAAGTATTAAGGCATTACCACCCTTCTCTATTCCCCTACAAATAAACATTTGGCTGCCACTAGCTAACAAGGCTGCCATGTTTGTGTTGGCACCGTGGGCACGGGGGCCGCCGCGCGGAATCTTAAACGGAGTGGATAATGTATGGGATAAATGTATAGTGGTGGCAGAGCGGCATTGTAGGCAAAGAGCGAAGCAATGAAAGAAAATGAATAAAGGGGGAAAGTATTTGATGTCACGCTCCATTTCTGCTGGAAGTCATGGTGAGAAAATCCCAACAACCGCTTTTCTCTGTCGTGTTTTCCATGTCACGAAGTGCAGGCTATTTGCCCTACCTTAAAATTGTTCTTGTCTATGCAACTATGCACTTGTAGTGTGGGAGGTGGTCTTCATTGCTTCACCTTCTCAAGACGCATCAAAGAATACCTCTGTAGTATTAAGAATCAGATAAACATGCTAATTCAATGCAAATCAGTACGATTTCTTTTTTCAGGACATTTTTAGACAAAATATATGTGGAAATAGAAACTTTTTAAAATTCTGATCGGCCCCAAACTGTTTTCAGACAGTAGACAGAAGTTTTGAGAGCATATTTGGGTGAGTCTTTCTGCAGTTTGACTCTCCACATGATGACGATTGTGAAACCAATGCCCGCTCAAATGTGATTGGTCGATGCTTCTCAGACAAAAAGTGGAAAGCAGGAACCTTTCAGTTTAAAATTAAACTGACCTCCTTCCACCCAAATTGTGCTTGTATAGTCGTGTCAGGACTCTTGGACAGCCATATAATGAATGTTGTTTCTCCCATTCAGCAAAATGTATTCAAGTTACAAATATGTTACGTAAATGGATTTTGATTGTAGTCTTAGCTTTAACTTAAAGGTATTCACGTTTAAACATCTGAAAACAAATCTGTTACCTTAGTCAGTTTTTAGTTCTCATTTTATAATTTTTTGTCTGTTTTAGCCACATCAACTGTTACATAAAATGCATAATTTCTGCACAAAACACATTTTCTTTCACTTCCAGGTGAAGCTGGACGACCGCGTAATGTCCACAGATCAGGGTCTGCTGTTCCGCCGTCTCTTCCGGCAGGACGAGGGCGTGTACATCTGCCGCTCGCGAGAGCACGGCTTCACGCAGACCCTGGCCCGCCTCACGCTCGAGGTCCTCCAGGGCGACACGGTGGACGAACTCATGGCCCGCGACAACGCGGGCCTCTCCGACACCTTCAAAGACCGCTCGACGGGAGGATACAGGGCCTGGATGCCCTGCAACACCTACAGCAGGGGAAGCTCAGCGAGCCAGATGGGCCAATCGCGCACCTGGTTCAAGGACATCATGCAGCTCATCGGGCCGTCCAACCTGGCGCATGTGGAGGAGTACTGCGAAAGGATGTGGTGCAATGACAAACTCAAGAGGAAGCACAAGAGCATGATGGAGAAATACCGCCAGGCACAGGACAGTGCGAGGAAGACTCGCAGCAAGAGCTCCGGGGAGCGGAACCGGACGCCGCGGGATCTGAGGGCACGGGAGGAGTAGCAAACGAGCACGTTATAGGAAAGTGGAAGAAGACACAAAGGCCACAGGGGCGACATTAAATACCACTCTAATAACCGTACTTGTAAAGATTGTGGTAGTTCACTCTGCTTTGCCACTTAACTGAATACAAATTGAGAATTTATTGTAGACAAAACAGTTTAATACTCCAGAATAGACAGGATGATTGTTCTGTAAAAGGAAAACTCCAGTCAAATGTTCCTCGTCGCGTTCCAGCAGTAAGCGAATTATGTGTCAGAGATTTTCAGTCATTTTGAAGTCAGTGCGCTGAATTCCTGCATGCAGATGTTGTCCTGGCTGTCATCCCGGAAAAGCAGGAGATCTCAGTGGTCTGGACAGACGAAGAGACTAATGTGGTGGAAGGAGCAATTGGTGCAGATGTGATGATGGTGGCAAAGAAGAGAGAAAGCTTTTTTTTCTTGTTTTTTTTTATTTTGATTAAGGACTTTTTCCCTCACAATTTTTGTGTGTGATCTTGTGTCACTGATAAACAGACGCATCTCTGTTATCATCATGTTATTTCAGATTTGATTTTTTTCCCCTCTAGGACTCTTATGAATACCTAGTGTTGACTTATACTCAGTTGCTTGTTGTCTTTTGCATATATATGTAATTCAGAATCAATTCTATACACACGTTTTTGGACGGTTTCAACACAGTGCAACCACTGGATTAATTTCCTTTTCCGTATATATTTAATGGTCAATGTACTTACCTCGCTCCTCCTTGGACTTACGACAACTTCTTTGATGTTTTTCTGTACGAACACACTCATACTCATATTAATTTAAATCTCCGTCACTCAACACACTGAACACATAACTCATAGTTGCTCAACTTGCTGAAACTAGAAGCTATCATGGGACGATTGTTGATGGTTCAACAGATGAAGATGCATTCGTTTATTTTTAATTTTCTATAAAAAAAATCTCTCTGTAAACATAAGCTGAGGATCAAAGCTCACAATCTTAATTAATAGTTATTCCTAATGACTTTTTTCTGTTGGATGCCACATAATCTCATACCAACTCTAGAGAAATGACAGAATCAATTATGAAAATGAAATTCTCTACAAAGAGTGGAAATACCCAGCATTAGTTTGGCTGTGGGTTGTACATAGATGGAAAAACATGAAAAAGCCTAAATAAGAAAGCATCAATGAAATCATGTAAAATAAAATGTATTGTATTCATTCTATACCCAGCTCAGTTGTTGTATGTTTGACATATTATAATTAGAATTCTACTATTAATGCTAAGCAGAGTATTTTCATATTGTGTTATATTTTGTTGATTGGAAACATTTTTAAAAAGTAAACTACCTACCAGAAGTGTTTTTTCACCTGGAGTCTCCATTGTATGAATAGTATTTAAAGGAAGATGAGTACTTTCTTAAATACTCTAAAGTGTCTTGTTGGTCAGGAGAATACCTGCATATTTTATATCGGGCAATTTGTTTATGGAGAGCAACAATAATACTATTTAATCTTTTTGTTTCATAATTAGAAAATGGCTTCTCAGAAGGGAATAAAAGAGGGAATATGGGCAAATTTTGCCTTTAGAAAGGTACGTCGTTATAAGCTTCTTATGAAGATTTTAGTTTGAAACTCCTTATACAAACATTGTAGTTGAGTTTCCTACAAACCGTGAGGTGAAACCTTTTAAAGGAGAGAGCATTCAGTCTCCATACCATATTTGAGCATGTCCTAAACGGTTCTTTTTTTTTCTTAGAAAAACATTGAGATATGTCTCCCAAGAAAATTCTTTATTTAACTTTTGTGTGTTAAGAAAAAGCAGTTTTGAGGAAACATACTATTTCTGTAAGTGTGATGTAATGCATTGTTTCAACTTCTGTCAACTGTCAGCAGAAAAAGGAAGCTAAAATGCATTTTTCAGTAACCTTTGTAACCATGACTATAACAATAATGTGTAAAAGATGCAAGTCTAAGACATGGTTTCATTTTAAACCGGTTGACATTTGATCGAATTGCCAAAGTAACTGCTGACTCATAGTTAGTGGTTTGACACTGATCCTGCACAGTGAATTAAACAAAAAGCAGTTTTCTTTTCTTGTACAACACTACGTAAACCCACTGAATACAGTTTTTGTACAGTTTAAAGCATGTTGCTTTTTTGCATGTAACATTTTACGCTTTTTAACTTAATCCTGTGTCCGCTGTTGGTAGCTGTGTAGATTATTTGCTTTGTAACTTCTATTTGACACTGTTTGGAATCACAGCATTTGTTCCCTTAATGTCCAACTGTGGATTTTTTTGTGTGTACTGTATATAAGAACAACTCATTTATTTTTCATTTCTGGTATGACTTTATAGAAACTGGGAGCAACAGCTTTCACTCCAGCCAAATAAATTGGTGACACTTCACAAACTATCCTCTTGCTTTCACAAGTGCTCCACATAGAAGACACAGTAAATAGACTCAAGATAGAATTGAAAATTGAAATGATTCATTCTTAAAGACATGATTATGTGCCAATAGCACCTAATTGTTTTAAACCTGGAAGCTTCAATAAGTGGGCTATCTCCATATAGGACTCTTTATGTCAAGAGAAAAATAAAGTTCCTCCTATTTTTCTTTTATTTTTGTTTAGTCATTGTTAAAAATTTGAGCTGTTTGTTGGGTGTATTAGTAATAAAATGTGTATTTATGTTTTATTTAAGTAAGTTTCAACTGTGCATGCTATGACCTTGTATGCTATTTAACACCATTAAAAGTGGATCCTTTTTAACATAAAACTGATGCCACAATTAATTTAATTTCCAGCTTGTGAGGAACAGACAGAAGCTATACATACTTTGTTATCTTGGCTGGGCTAGGTTAATGGTAGCTATATAAACACACAAACAGCAGTGCTGCAAAATGAGTCACTCTTCTAATTTGTATGGTTTACTGCTCTGAAACCAAGACTGTATTTGTAATAAAATCAACAATATGCAGACTGCACACCTGCTATGAAGTCATTTGGCACTAAGTGCTGAAGTGACTAGCTCTATTTCCCTTGTGTTTGCTTTATTACTTTCAGGTATTTGTGTCTTTGCTAAATATCTTAGAACAAAAAGTTAGAAAAAGACAACTTACTTTCCTTTGCTAAAAATGGGAGTTGCATTTAGACTGATGGGAATATCTATAAATAAATGACCTTACAAGTAACTGAAGTGGGTAGTTGGACGGTACACAGAGGCAACAGAGGTACCAGAATGTTCTGTAGAGGAAGCAGGAAGCATATGTGTGAGTGATTGAAGAATTATGGGCCCACTGTTGACTTATTACGATACCCAGTTACTGTGTCTGGCCATGCATGTGATTGAAAGGTAATTGGGCAGTAACATCTGTGAACAATGGCTGCTTGTCACCTCAACAAACAGACCATCTCGTAAAAATCCAACCTGCAACCGAACCCACTAAACGACTTCACACCTTGTCAATGTTTGCAGCCACGAGACACACGCTAATGCAGAGTAAATTACGGCACATGTGAACTAAAAAAGAGCTGCATGCAAACAACTCCACTTTCACAAATGTGTCTTTGGGGTTCCAACTTCAGTCTACTGTGTGTGAACGTCATCGACTTGGCCTCAGAGCCGTTGCTAGGCTGAGTACCTTTGAGAAAAATCAAATCACAAAGTAAATGGATGGCTGTGAGTTCCATCATGCACATTGCAGCGTCGTTATGTTTCAGGCCTGTGTGCTTGTTTTATGTAGAATGCATGGGTAAAAAAACCATCAAGCTAAGGTAGAAACGTTTTTCAGCTCAGCCTTGGTCTCTGAAAAGTCTAACAGCTATCAACACTTTATCCACATTGTAAAATAGTTATGTCAGACATTTGTGATAGGACAATGCCAACTTGTACAGCATTTCTAAAGCCATACTCCTAAATATGTAACTTTTCATTCCAAATATGAAGTTTTTTGTCTTCTATGGCAAACCTATTAGATTTATTTTTTTAATTCGAACATGTTTTAATCTATTTGTTATAAGTGTATGCAATGACCTAAAATTGATGACAATTTGCAGTACTGTAGGTCATCTCACAATACATAGTCTGACTTATTTCAAGTCAAGTTGAATTATAATATAACAGTAAATCAACCAAATGAAATGATTAGTGACTTAAGTATTTCCACCTAGAAGGTAAAAAGCTGGATATGGCACAGGGCACGGAATGTGGTCTACAGTGTAATTATTAACCATTATGATTAATATAAGATATCTCTTTTAACAATTATAGAGTTTGACATCTAAATTCAAGCAGTTGAATCAAAATTGGTAACTATAAAGTCAGAGACCAAAATACTAACAATTTGCCTTTGATTAATTTGTAAATCAGACATGGTGCAAATCCTAGCAGAAAAGAGCAGGACACACTCTGCAGGCAGTCATTGTTGGAACTGACGCTTTCCAGCACACCAACATGAAAAGAAAACCTCATACCTTCCATCAGGATCAATGAGTGTCGCCAACTTCCCAGTGGGTGTGATCTGAAACAAAATATCCTGAACAAAGGGAAACTTGTTCACAGTCTACCAGACAAAGGCAGCCCAAGAATGATCAACATGCCTTTCAGGAACTACCTCTAAATCTATGATGCTGCCGTGATCTGCTCTGGAAAACCAAAATCATATGTCATTCAGTAACTTTGTCCCTCAGTTTTGGATTTGAAAGTTGAAATGAAAACATTTAAGAGTGTGACTTCATGTCTCTTGTGAAAATGTGGCGACAGGAACAGCACATGACCTCAGCAAAAAGGCGTAACAGTAACTAGAAGCTAAGACACCTTTTTTTTCAAACTAAGGAAACAAAATGTCTGTGGCTGCCAGCTCTCAGCTACTCTCATTTGCAGTTGATATTTAACTTAACTGGATGCATTTAACCGCTGGCAAATGCTTTCTAAACTTTTTATGTGAAACTATTTGTTGGCAAAAGTCCTTAACAATGAGCATTATTAAAGTAATTAAAGTCATTTAGGTCTGAGACTTAATTTCCATTGCATATGTCATTTTTAAAAAAACTAAATCAATGCCATTAAATGCTTATTATTTCTAAATCTAATGACCAAACATTTTCAGTTTGTTTACGTTAGCATTTTTTAAGTTTTGACAAGCAAAATGAGCTTTGGATCATCACTAAAACGTTTAAATATGATGCTACTTAATGAATAAAAACATAAAGCATAATCACGTAGGGCTTTTTTAGGGGCTGCCAATATTTGCCTTAATTTAAGATGTATTTTCTTTACGATGCTCTCACTATTACTGAGTAAAAAACGTTGTGACCTAAGGAAGTGAAACATCAACCTTTTAAGCCAATAATAATCAAATTCCTATCTATAAATGATGTGGTTTCTTTCATGCTCTCAAAGGTGCATTGAGGCCAAGGGTTGGAAAAAATTTAAAAACAGATTAGTCAAGCTAGTCCTGAAGCATTGTGTGCTAGCCGTGTATTTTTGATTGTCATCAAAATATCATTATCTTTATAAAAAAAAAACGGTATGGATGTATTTCTGAGACGTTCCCACTGCTTGCTCACAAGTAGCAGACTTCCTGCTCTGTCGTTTTTCCATGTAAAGCCCATCTCCAATGTACAGGATGCATTAGAAAATCTGCTAATCTCTGCAGCAGCTGTTTTCGGTCCATCTTGAAACATATGTTATCATGTTTTGACCATTCTGCATGTGGATGTACAAGCAGTATAGGTGATATTTCCTTTTAGATTTTCCTTCATATTTCCTTCTTTGTTTACAAAGGCTGTGGATTTCTCAAACTAGAACAGTAAGTGTTTTTACAGTAAAGGGAAATGTGATTGAGTCTGAATCTGGACTCTGTTCATGTATAAGAGCACTTTTCGGGCTTTAATCTTCTAATTGCATTGAAAGAACAGGGAATATCTTTGCACCTCAGCCTTCAAAGAAATAGGAGTCAACAGCACATGTGGGATCCAAAGTTTTTTCTGGGGGCAAAACATCGTGTCCAAGTTGTTTAAAGGGATTTTTGATGAACAACCCTTTAAGGCTGGAATTAGATGATGTTTATGGCTAGTTTTTGATTACAGGTTATGCTTGGTCATTCATCTGTGACAGCATGAGTTAGTGTATCACCACAAAGATAAAAAACAAGTGTGTGTGTGTGTGTATGAGGGTAGGATGCATGTGAGAAAAGGCATGCAAAAGAAATCTACTGGGAGCCAACTGCTGATGCATAGTCTCCCCTTTGACTGATGAAGATTAATCTACATAGACGTAGCAGGGTGAAATGGAAAGATCCTGAGCTGATATTTCACTTCAGAGCATTCCCATTTCACCAGGACCTTCCAAAGTAGGAAAGTGTCTGTAGTTAGTAATAAACCTTAAAGCCATAGTAACTCAAAACAGCTGAACTTCAAAGAAGAAAATATAGAAATGTATTTAAGACATTTTCATTCTAACTTTGTTGTAAGTTATATATGCAGACATGATATGACATCATGTGAATGTGGAGTTGACTGCTTAAGAGGAATGAATTCCTCATGCAAAAAATGCCAAAGTGAACGCATATTGTTCTTAAAACTAAACCTCAGTTAACTTGAATTTGCTCAAAATATAAAATAATAAAAAGGTTCATTTTAATGCAGGGATCACAGAGAATAAAGTCATAGGAGATATGCTTGGTTCTAGGGTAGACAAATTTTGAACATCCCTCATATTCATTTATATAGTTTCCGTTAATCGTGGTATATCCAAGGACGTGGGTTGCTGCTAAAAAATATCCACCGATCTCTGACTACAGCTTAAACCAGTTCTATGGTGGATGCGACAGGTAAAATCCCTCTGGGATTCCTCTCAGTGACATAGTAGTATTATTAGGATGAAAAAAGGACATGCAGTATGTGTTCATAGCATGAAAACTTCTTCCCACTAAGTCATCCCGGGTATATTTACTTTATTATTTGTGCTCTTCAGTATTAACCCCATTTCCACTGTTACCTACTCTGTATTTGGTTATGACCCTGAAGAGTGCTCCATAAACTTAAGCAGTCCAAACTGCACTCTTTCTTTGTTTGGTGCTATCCTGGATTATTCTGACCTACTCTGAGGTCCAGAGGTGGCATTGATGTTCCCAGTGTGAGGTGCATATACTGAAGCTGGGATGCTTACACTTTTTGACTTTACTAGTCCAGAAACTAGACTGAGAATGTTAATTTCTCAGTCATGTTTTACCTGAACATAATTTAGTCAGTACTTATTCACCTCTGATGTTTGTTTGGCTTGTTTGTCCACACATTAATTCAGCATTGTTTCCAACATGTGGCTTGTTGCCATAAAACAGAGCGGATGATGCTGAGTCCTTTTAGATTCCTGCCATTTGTAAAATCCCGGTCAACAAATACAGGAAATGTGTTTGACCCCTAAACAGATGTTTGTTGCATCACAGTGAAGAACATGTGTTTTCAAGTTTCTGAGGCAGCCGCCCTTTTGGTTTATAAATGGACAAATTGTAGACAAAGTGTTTTTTTTTTGTTAAATCAAAAACAGAGGAAATTATCAAGACTTGGACAAACATGTGATTATTTCAAGATGGAAGTCATCTGTAAGGTAACGATCATCTCGCTGCATGGGAACTCTCATCAGTAACTCACATACCGCTGGCAGCTTGCATTCACCTACACTTATGCTTCACTTCCTGTTTGGGATCAGTGCTAAAATTGATCTGGTCCCATTCCAGATTCCCTGATGATGTCAGAGATAATGACTAGGCTGACGGAACAGGTCATTTGTGAATTATGGCTGCAAAAGCTGCATGCAGTAACACGACAGGAGCTGCTTGGCGGGGACATAAAACCTTTCAAACAGGCCTCGATGATGTGAAATGTTCATCTAATCCCTTATGGAATAGTGTTAGATGTCAGTGATGTTCAGTCCCAAAGCATGACAAGCCTATACACAATTTTTGCCCAAAAAAAACATATTTAGCAGAGATTTAAAGGACATGGTTTAAACTACCTTTTTTTATGTCTTGCTCCTCTTAAAAAATTCAGGGCTTTCTCC